AGAAACATTTTAAAACTTGCATTATGATATTTTAAGACACACAAAGCATAGAGCAAACAACACAGGACCAGTCATGGGATGTACATGCAAGGACCAGAACAATGGATAAAAGCCTTCCTATACACAAGACCCCTAAAAATGCTTTTTGGCATCTAATAACAGACTGAGCTGAGTCTTGAGTTCTGATCCAGAGACCTATTGATTATATTGCTAAGTATTACAAACCACCTAAATGACACACAATTACTCTGTAGAGGCTGACTTCTCCACCATAAAACTGCAGATTCAATTTTAAAAATTAAAAAACTCATCCAGCTATCTCAACTTATTTTATAGAAAAGATAATCCAAAGGAAATTTTATTCTAAAAGTGAAAGGCATCAAGGGTGACATCCTATACTGAAATTATTTTAAAGTCAGTAAAACATCACTCTGTGACCAAATATATTGATCTTCGGTCTGAAGCCATTTTTCATAACTTTTCAGGGGGATACAAATGTATGCAAGAGTCCTTTTTGCAGGCCCTCAAGTTTAGCCATCCTTCAGTTTGCTGCTATAACATTGTACATACATTCATGTTACAGGGCTGCAGAAATTACATGTCTATGTCAACAGATGTGTTTCTTGGAAGAAAGCAACAGAAATCAAGTTTATTCAAATGTTTGCCAGCTACCATATGCTGCAATACTACTTTAAATGCAACATAAGGCTTTGGGAACATACTTTTACTGCTATCTACACTTTGTTATTTACTTTCCATTTAGACTAAATACCAGAGACGGGGCACACTAAGGGGTGCAGTGTCCTCTTTGTAAAAACATTCTACCCGTTGTAGTATTTAGAAAGAAAAAAAATATACAGAGCCCTACATTACTCTTGACCACTTTCAGCGGCTACACTTTCATAGGGAGGCTCTAGGAAAGATATTTTTACATATGGCATTAATTCTGGGAACTTTTAATAATGGCCAAATATAATTAAAAATTATGCAAAAATTCCTGCCATGAAGAGAGCAGTACAGAAACGAGTCTGTTTGAAGAAAAAGCAATCGTTTGCTCATATTCTGAGTCCATAAAAAAACAAAACACACGTGGTACATTTTTAATATTTGAACTACATCAGGCCCAATTCTGCTCCTATGTGAAGCGAGTGGCAAAACTCCAGAATGGAGCAGGATAGAGCCCCTGATGTTGTCACAAGCACTCAAATAAACAAACAGGGCTGTAACACATTCTAAGCTTCACTGTGTTCCTCTAAATGAATCCAGACAGAAAAAGAAAAGCACATTTCATTGCATTTCTGCAATACAAGGATAGCAACAATGTATAACCTTCTATTACATAGAACGCACCCTCTTAAAAGTATTATCACCCAAATATCTAAAAGAAACAATTTCAAAGAGTCAAGAAAGCATTTGTGCACAAATTTGTAGATAGCTCTACCAAATTTGATAGGGTTCTTTGATCTTCCTGACCTCCTAACATCAATTTTTCCTCTGGACTTTCATAAAGTGCAGGATACAAGGACATTTTCACATGACACAAACGTAGGCATCTCCCACAGCCAGCTAAATCCCCTAGGCTTTTTTACAGACAATAGAAAGAGCTGTCGATGTTCTAAATCATTCTCAAGGGAACATAAGCTAAGTCTCTGCCCTCAGTCTCTTCAGCAATTCTAAAAGAAACTGCAGAATCTGTAATTCACTCAAGTTATTCAGCATTAACAGTAAAATGGCATAAAGATGGCATCCAGCTTTTAACCAGTGGGAGAAATTTTGCTTTGACCACATCTTCATTTTCTGCTACCTGTGATTTCATTAATAATATGACTACTGATAAACTAAAAGCTGAGTGCATCTCTCAGATCTTAACTAACTCTGAAAGCCTGGGAGCCAAAATCCAGCAAGGCCCTTAAGCACTTGCATAATTCTAGACATATTGACATCTTGGGTTTGAATTCAAAGGCGTGTCAAAGCCCATCACTGGACCACTGCCAGAGAACTCAGCACCTTCCTAAAAGAAGTCCCTGAAGTTCAATTTTTAACTGAGACAATATCTGTGAAACATTTTCCTTCCTGGGCTATGTGTTTTAAATGTGTCTTAAATGGCTGTAGGAAGCATTGCCAACTCCACTACACTTCTACTGTTGAGTTTATGTCAAGCTCACCTTTTTGAACACTATTCCACAAAAAAGCTGTGTTTTATGACACAGCTGCACATACTTGACAGTATGTCCAGGCAGCTTCTCCTGCTCTGGAAAGGAGCCAAACACCACACACAGCAGCTCAGGAGTTAATGACACATGTTCCACTTGCAGCAGATAAAGTTATTGATCCAGCTCTGGTGAAGTCTGTCTCACCAGTGATACTGCATACAATCCCAGGACATGAAGAGGAACTCCGCTGATAAAAGTGAACCTCAAAATTCCTTCCACTCATGTTTATAGTGCTTTACCCTAAGATTAACACTTCTAAGACAAAAAGTGATATGTGTGCCAAAAACTGTCCCATGCCAGCTGCTACCCTCTCAAAGAATGATTGAATAAATACATGGAAATACTCATGCCACAAATTTAATGGAGTTTGCTGCACTGTGAAAGTAGTGGCTCTTTGACCAGATAAAGCCCTTGACCTACACAGAAGTCTTGCAGATCTTCATTAACAATCACATGGTCGACATTTACTGAGGTAATGTATGGAAAAATTACTTAAAACAGTAGACACAGAACTACACAACTTATCTCTGTATCTAAGAAACTGGATCTAATTTTGTTCCAACCACCTGCAACATTTTAAGTGCTCTCCCTATCGGATTATTAGAATAACCCCACGTGTTTGGTTGCCTTGACACTGTTTTATTCAGGTCAGTTCTAAGTTATGACATATGCAGCAAAGGCTGGAATATTCTTTGGTGTGTGACATATATGCCACAAACACTCTTTAACTGTTACTGTTAGTTGATGCTGGTAGAGAAAAGCACTGGGTGATATACAGCAGTAAATTACTTCCATAACTGTTAGTTTGTGGGATGGCATAACCTAGAAGTCAAACCACAGCCAAACAGATGGAGAATGTGTATGCCACAAAACTGTATCACTCCACATTACGTTTATATCCAGAAATGGTGTTTTCAAAACAATCTGCTTCTCCTGCTTCTGCCAGAAATGGCATCGTTTAAGACACTATTTCTCTTGAGTATTTTCCTTCCCCACCCCCCCTCCATGCCCAGAGATGCTTTGGTTTTGTTGTTTTGTTTCCTCCCCTCTTTCTTTTCTTTCTAATAAACACACAGTTTTACTCTACAAGGCATGAATCTTGTCAATTTACTGGCTAACATCCATCCACATGTACATCAGAAGCCCACCAGGGAGTGTCAAATCCACAGAACTTTCCAAAGCTAGATTCAAAATATGGACCTCTTACTTAGCTGACAGCTGTGTAAAATCATATGCAGCCAGACAACTCCCCAGTGACCACACAGGTGCATGTGCTGAACAAGGCAAGTTATTCTAAGACCAAGATTAGTTTATACTTGAAAAGTTATCTTCAGAAAAAGTTTTTCTCATGGCATAATGTGATTCTGAGACCAAAAACCACCACACCCTTTTTAGAGGAGGGGAACATATTAGCTCAGCTAGGTAGAGAGGCTGCAGGAAATCTGTGAAAGCAGCCAAATTTCAGAGGTTTTCTGGGAAGATATGATAATCATTTGGCCTCAATACAGCAAGCCAGCATTAATCAGGAATACTGCAGCTCATTAATGTCTATTTTCTCTTTTATTGATAACTATAAAATCAAACACATGTTTTAAGTAAAAAACTGCCTATGGACAAGGCATGTAAGTTACAGATTTCCACCTCAATTATGCTCAATAGCATGCATGTAATTTCAGGACAGCTTGACTTGCTCAAATGGCTCTGTGCCACCAGTTTCTCACTCCACCCACCAGCAGGAAGGAGCCCTGAGGGACAGGGCTGGAGCTGTTACCAGGATTCAGCCTAGAAACTTGCCCTAATGATGTGGAATCAAACTGGTCTCAGATCAGGCAACACAGAAGTAGCACTGAACAATCTTCTGAACTTACATTTTACAACTCCTCACCAGACTGAGGGCTCAAAAACTTTACCCATGAAGAACAAGCAGTAATTGCGTGAAATTCCAAGTCTTTGCAGGAATATTCCATGCATTCTCACCTATAAGCATTTATTCTCTTCAAATTTAGGAACTTTAACCTAATTGCCCATTCCTCTTACTTCTCTCCAGCAGAGATCCCATGATTCACAACTGAGCTACTTTTCTATCTCTGGGAAAAACTCACCATTGGTTTGAACTACTTTTATAACATTGAGTGGACAACTGGCAAGATTTCACACAGTGGCAACACAGCAATTTTATTCACTGTAGGGAGTGCAGGAAATACCTGCTTCATCCTACCATCTGTTTCAACAGAGAAAAAAAAAGTCTTTGGTCCCCTCAGAGTTGTTCTGCATCACCCACCTATGCTGCCCACATAAAAAAGCCAACTGTTACTGCTCCAGGTGCAGCACTGAGAGCAGAGATCATCTGACACACCCAAGGACAGAAATTTCAGGCGCTAAGCCATCCTCTACATGGAAGCCCAAAATCAGATTATTAATGTCTATCCTGAGCCAGGTTCACAGATATGTAACACAACTTATTCTATGAATAGAATGTATGAATTTCCAACTACACAAACCAATTGCTCTGACAAATGAAAATATTTTATTAGTATTTTTATAAAACTCAACAGCATTATATCTAAACATTGTCCACTATACTGCTCACAAATGAAAGATTAAATTGGTTTAATAACCCTGAATACATCCACATACCATATAAGGGAGTTGGTATCATTGTGTTTTCATTTGAAGCTTATCACTATGGATATGCAACTAAAAAGCTGAATTGAAAACAATAAATCTGTACAAAATGGAAAAAAGCATTTAATAAACTCTGCAAAAGTAAACATAAAAAAGACAGAGGCAAGATGCTACTTATCCCATATATCAGATTAAAAGACCATTTCTGATGACTTGGAAACTAAAGTTTGAGTAAAAGCACACAAAAATTTTCATTTGCCACCTCTCCCACTGGAGTGTTTTCATCACAAAAAAGTTAACAGTTCCATCTGTGCTTCATCCTGGCCTCTATCCTTATGAAGTTCACATACTTCCGAAAATGCTACTTAAAATTTATTTTCTGTCTTGAGACCAACAGAAACACACACAACCAATTCAGCTATAGAATACAACAGGTAATGGCCCAACAACCCTACTGTCAGAGGTGTTGGAACATAATTATTCCCGCTGATTTAGGGTACATACCTCTCTCACACTGGGGTCCAGTAAAGCCATATGTACACGCACATCGGTTCGGAGCCACACATCTCCCTCCATTTAGACATCCATTTTCACAGACAGCTGTGAAGGGAAGGCAAGAGGAATCTTTATTGAGCTGCTTTCAGAAAGACACGAAGGGATGTATTTGGCCAACTTAGGTAAACTGATAAAAATGGTAAACATAACAGGATACCAAACTCTTTTCCTAGAATCTACTTTATGACCTTTTACAACTTCCTGGCCTCATTAGTAGCATGAGCTCATCTTTTCAAGGGAGCATAACACAAATACAGGAACAAACACAGCTTTTCTGACCTCTCAGAGCCTCTCTTTGGGATGGCTGGACAATCCCATAACTTCAAAATAAATATCTCTTTCAAACTTGTAACAAATAAATACTGATAGAGATTACAGAGATAGATGATGCAGAGGAATATTTCATTGCTAAATCCTCAAATGTATTTGTTCCTCCTGTAATAATTCATTATTAAAAGGCTGTTTGCAGGAGTTAAATAAATAATGCTATTAACTAGGATAGCAAAATTTAATCAATATCTATTCCATGCTAATTTAAGATACTCTTCCTCTGCATCATGTTGTCACTAGCTTCAGAACTCATTTTTTAAATAATAAACTCCAAAAGCAATTCCTCTCAGAAATAATCAGAAAATACAATATGCACATGAAAAAGGAGGTTTTAAATACAATTTGATGTTCATTGAGTAATGTTATTCTTTGTTCCGTTTCACATTCACTTCAGTAGAAAGAAGATTTCCATTTATCCTCTTTTATCCACTTGATATTTCACAGTGAAGGCAGAAATACAATTCTTAATCCTTTCACCATGTGATCCTCCTCCAGATTATTAGGGTAAATTCCTGGTCCCACTGAAGTTCATGTAAAGTGTGCCATTGATTTTGACAGAGCCCAAAAGGTTTTCATTAAATGAGTTAAACACATTTTCTGTGTCAGACCAATATTTCACTAGATAGCAACGTGACAGCCTTGGTTAAAAGCAGTGTCTACATCCTTATTTGAGTTACTTCACAGCATTCCAGCCAAGAAGAACAAGAGAGCACCAGAGTCCGTTTGGGAGAGATTTCAAGCAGCAGATCCAGGAATGCTTTTGGCTAAGGACTGATTGAGGAAATAAAAAAATCTGTCTATCAACTCTAATAAGACAACATCAAAATTTCTAAAGCATACTAGCTAAGTCTGATGTAAACACTGAAATGAAAACAAGACTTTGTATTAAAAATCCTAATTTTATCTACAAAATGAAAACTGAATCCCATGTAAAATTTAGATATATGACCCACTGCTCTAGTGGGTGAGCCGTCCTGGAGGTCAATGGGAATTATAGCAGTGTGAGAACTACAGGATCAAGTTATATCCAGTTATTATAAACTCACATGATGTTTATTTTAATAGTCTTGATCAGTAAGAATTCACTCAGCATTACAAAGTCATGTGTTTTTCTGTAAAATCTCACTATACCTGATCAAAAACAAGCTCAACAGCAGCTGAAATTTAGTGCTAAAGAGTGTCCAGTGCACACATCACAGAATCCCTTAGCAGTATCTGCATTCCCAGAAGTGTACTTACGCTGTCCACAGTGTGTTCCTGTATATCCCTTCTGACACAGGCAATGGTCATCACTGCAGCTGCCTCCGTTCATGCACCGGATGTTACAGTGTTGGACTTGAAAGGAAAAAAAGATTTTCCTCAGTTAAATCAAACCAATCAGAAACACTTTACTCTTTGCTAAAGGACTTTACTTTCTTTGGGGATTGATTCTGTGAACCAGAAAGCATTGGAAGTCAAGAATGCACATTTTAGGACAGATACTTAAACTGGCAAAACTACAGAACACAATATAGATTTACAGTTCCTAAGGAATATAGGACATGGTGCAAGAATTGGATGCACCCTCTCATTCAAATGAAGTCAAAGGCATTTCACATGAGCATAAATCCGCAACATTTTTTTACTAGTTTGCAATTATGAGAAAAAGCCTTCAATAAGGGAAAAGGCCTAAACTTCTGGCAGACAGCACCATTAAAAAGGGAGTCTTATCATCTGGGAAGTGGGGGAGGAAAGTATTAAAGGGAAGCATATGAGGGAGCTCCTGAATACAGCCCTGTTCTGCCAACACATGCAACACCAGAAGCTGACCTGGCCAAGCAGGACTTCTTGCATAAAAAGGAGAAACAACAGAGTGATTTCTTTCTGCATGTCAACTGTGGGCTCACCCCACCAGTAGAGCTGCTGTGCTTGGGAAGCTGCAGAGCTCACAGACAGCACTTCCCCAGAGCCAACAACCTCCCCCTCCCAAGGGCAGAGGCAGGGGAGCAGCAGCACACACTCCTCAGCTGCAGCCCCACCACTTATAATGGCTAACAGGCAGCTTAAGCCCCATGCCAGTAAAACATAACGTCTCTGATGCATTTTTCTAGTAATAAGGGCAAAGATATTTCTTAACTAGACGTTGGGAGCAACTAAAAGTATGTCAGGCTCTTCATCAGGCATAGAGAAGTGGGCAGATTTCCCAACAAAGCGAAGTCCTTACAGGTCCTGCTGTCCAACACAGCTGTGAACTGGGGCCTGCACTCCAGTAAGCAGCTAGGAAATGGTTTTCCTCTTAACAGGAACCACATGAAAGGCTCCTCCCCAGATAGAATTACAGTCTGATCAGCATTTCAGGAGATTGTGATGGAGCACTGGATACCTACACCATGCTGTCTGAAATGCTCAGGACTGAAAAATGGAAATTGCATGTTCCATCAGAGCCTGCAGCTAACAGGTGCCATGCCAAACACTGAATTTTTCATCTCACACAAAACCCTTAGGCATCATTTGGCTTTTAACAATTCAGAAGTATGTGAATAGATTTTTTTTAAAAATTACAAGTAGAAATAATAATTTTAACGGTATTGCCTTCTGTAGCAATATGAATCCACAAAACAGAAGTAAAACATACAACTGGAGAAAGAATTTAAAGCAATCTAGCATTTAAAACACTACTAACCTTAATTCTTTAGTTATAAAAGCAAAAATCATGTATTACATTTTTTATGTGTCTAATAGTTATTATACATCTTTGTTCCGCTTTGGAGGTACTTCAGTACTTCAAGCAACAAAAATGTACTAACATTCCTTAATAAAAAGTAAAATTGTCTGCAAATACAGAGTGAATATCTGGTGAAGATTTCTGGACAATGTCCTAAGTAGGTCAGAAAAAGGTGTATAGTTACTTTAAAATGTGTAGTTCAATTCAGCTTTATACAATCTTAGAAAAACAGAGGGGATTACAAAAAGCATAGGAAATGATATCATCTGTCAGGCAGGGAAGGAACTTAAAAACCACAAACTGATTTCAATTAGAGCAAGCTATGCCAAGAGCTAATTTCCATTCCCACATGAAGACCAAAGCCATTTAAGTAGTTTGAACTACATTTGAGATAAAAAGGTTAACAGTAGCTTAAATTATGATTTTCATATTATCTGTTGATGTATAAATAAAGTATATTTCCTCATTATGGGATACACACAAATTTTTCATAACTTGTCTTACTGCTTCTTAATATAACTTTTCCAAGGTAAAATACTTCTTCCTCCTCTTAAAACTAAAATAATTATGGGAGACTGCTGTGACACCCAGTCATCCTTGCTAAAATGAGCCATTTAAATCTGTGAGCTTCCTCGCCTAGGCAGGAGGATCACTGACATACAGTCAATAAACTAATTACTTATTTTCTGCCCTCTTTTGTGGGAATGTTGAAAAGAGTACTTCCAAAATCATACAGACTATTCTGTAATATTATCCTTCCAAAAGTTTACAGAAACACATTCAAAGGCTGTCTGGAGTTCGGATGATGATTTTCAAAATGCATTTTTGAAAACTAGCATATTAATGCAGGTCCAGGTTCTCTTTTCTCGGCTATATCAACAATTCCATTAATGTCAGTGGAGATATTCCGGTAAATGAAACAACCTGTTCCAAGATATCACACTGACAGAGATTCAAAGAAAAAGCACAGGAATTACCATAAGGCTGGTAAATTAATGCATATAGCTTTGCCTTATCTTGGCATGCACAGGAAATGCTAACATTAATAAACGGTTGCTTTTAATCAATTACCATTCTTTTTCACATGCAATTTGTAAACAGTCTGCACTGGAAATGTCTGAAGTCAAAACAGGAATAACTGCAGGAACACAACTTTATAAACCTGCAAAAGAGCCAGCAAGACCATACATATCCACACAGGCTTTGCGTGTGGGCGATAGTCGTGTTTTTTATCAAAGTGCTGCCCTCTTAAGCATAACAGCCCCTGACTTTTTAAATAAATATCCAGCAAAACTGAGTAGAGACCTCATCACACTCACAGCACTACCACAGCCGCTCATGAAAAGTGCCGGAGCTCACCAAGCAGACGAAAGGTAGCACACGTGCTGTGTGCTCCGCGATCCCAACCTAAGGAACGCGAGGTGCGAGGGTCCGCAGTGCTCGGGTGGGAAGGCAGCGGAGCCGCCGGGCCAGCCCCTCACTGAGGGCAGCCACGGCCCGCGGGCACCGCGGCACGGCCCGGCTCTGCTCCGTGCCAGCCACTGCCGAGGAAACGCTCACATGTGGCCCCGGCCGTGCATGACGCAGGGCTTTGCCTGCCAGGAGCTGTAAACAAGGAATGACGGCCTCATCACATCCCAGATGCTCAGCGTGCTTTCTCTGTCGAGTGACTGACTCGGGAGACAGATGGCAGTGAGCGCCAAGGCAGGACACGAGCCTGCTGCCCCACAGCCCTGCACAAGGCACAGACAAAATCAACAGTACCCTCAAAAACTCTGGGGACATTCAAAATCCATGACCTTACACCACCTCTGATAGCAGAAGAGGCAAAGGGCTGAGCCCCAGGTTTTACTGCCATTGAGAAGACACCTGCCATAGCACCCGAGGAGCGGGTCCCGGGCACACAGCCAAGGCCCGGGCTCAGCCCCACACCCCGGCAGTGTCTGCGGGAAGCCTCTGAGGAGGAGCTCGGTGCTCGGCTGTGCCTCCGATGCTGCTGGCAGGGCAGTGGAGCAGGTCCTGCTCTGGACACGGACACTTGTCTGCACACCCCGAGCACCCACCACGGCCACCTCTGTCACAGCTCCTTTCCTTCAGGGACAGCCCCATCAGCAAATGCCTTCCCTGTTTCAGCCAACCAAAACCATTCTGACTACAGAATGGCTCAGCTCAGAAACAGAACCGACCCATAACCGTGGGGGCAGCCTGACTCCTTGTTTGCCCCTCGCTCCTACAGGGGCAGAGCAGCAGCTCTAACACGTAGCAGGATCACAGAGCAAGAATGCAGCACCAAGAAGGGCCAAGCTGCAGCACCGACAGACACGAGAGCAGCAGTGCAGCCACTGCCACCGCAGGGCTGGCAGAGTACAAAGCACAGGACATCCCTCACAGCACGCAGTGTTGCACATCTCCATACAGTGCACCTGCAGCGTCAGGGCACCCTCATATCACCCACACCTGCACTGACAGAGCACCCTCACATCACCCACACCTGCAGTGACAGGGAGGTCTCCACACTTAGCAATCTTATCTCCAAGCTTGCTGTAAGCACACCCAGAAATTCACTGATTACACAGAAATAACCACTACTCAGCCAGAAGTTTACTGATGTCACTAAAATCCCTGCTGAGAAAAACCACTGGTTGATCTTTTCAACCACAAATCAGATTCCTAAAGCTGACTCTTAACCAGAAAAGTCCCAGCAACTGACCTGCATAAGAATCAAACTTGGAGGTTTTGCCTTGCTCTCGAATCCACATGCTTTCCAATCTGCATTTAAAATTTTATTTTTACAGACAACCAGAGTATAAGAGTCACTGTCAATTCAGTTTATGCCTATGGATGTACCTGATAGAAAATCCATGTCCACCACTGATTCTTAAAGTAGTAAAGACACAAATAGCTTAAAATATCCATATTCTGATATATGCATCTCATATATTAGAAGCTATAGATTTAATTCTGAGAAATCATGGCATTTTTTCTCATATTTGCTATTATTTTACATGTGGCAAACACATATTACTTACATTAGATTTTTAATTATTTAAATTAGATTTTTTCTTATTTTTTAACACATATCATTAAAGTAAGGTTTAATGAACAGATATTCTGACAAAATATTAACTGTTACCAAAGGTAGTTGAGAGTAACATTTGATGTCAAACAGTATTTTTTATGTTTACTTTGTTTTCTAATTGTAGATCTAAGTCATTGTGGTCTATTGTGTAAATACATATTCGTGGGTTTTGTCTACAGCAGAAATGATTTACATAAAGTATGTTCTGTAAGTAGTAATGATATGCTAAATCATAAAAAATATTATACAAGAGTGCACAGAAGAAGTGGAATCTCTTCCCTGTACAACTTACTAGACACTTTTGCTTTTAGAATTGCTATCTTTTAATAAATAAAGGGGATGTAACCACATACGCAAAATGTATCTTACATTACTGCAGAAATTGAACAAGATATAAAGCATATATATTTTAAGCCAACTGCTAAGTCTATATATAAAGTGTTAATTCTTATACTGTATACAGAAAATCAACTCTTAAAAGCAGGCAAGCCTATGCAGCAATGTAAGGAAAATAATGTCAGCACTGATTAAAGCTTATGATTAATAGAAAATTCATACTTAGGAGAAGTAATGGTCAACAAGCAAATTAGCTACGTCACAGAGGCTTTAGAAGCTGCTTGATTAAACACTGTAGTAAAGTCCTGCACCCATTTATCTGTGCTACTCCAATGTGCTAAAAACTATGGAGATCAATGGTAGAATATTTCAGAAAAAGAACCACAAGAAGAACTGAAAACTTTACCCTATTTTTCTTTTGAGTCTTGACTCATAAAAGACTTCAGTGGGGCCAAAGAAAAAAATTAGGGAAGGCCCACTTCCTGCCAAAGGTGCCAAAATATGTAATAGATCCAGAGGTACATCCCTTCTGTGCCCCAAAGGATACTTGGGAGAAGGTCAGACCTTTCTTTACTGGCTTACAGGACTAAGGCATATGCACCTGGTAAGACAGGAGCTGCAAACCCAGGCAGGGACACACCATCACACACATTTGTGCAGCCTTTTGCACCCTTCCCTCCCTCCAGTACTCTCTGGGAACTCCATGGCTCCACATCTTCCCCCAGCTGTCCTCTCCCTAACATACATCACAGGAGCATGAAATGGGTTGAACTACAAAGAACAATATTTACCATTTCAGTACATGCCATTCCATTCCATTCTGCAGTTGTTAATGTTTTTCCACTGTTATTGCATAAAAAGGATGCTAAAACCACAAACTGAAATCGTCAGTTATGTGGGAAAACTCTTATCAACCAGGAAAGCAAAAAAAAAAAGGCAAACTAAAAAATACAGAAGCAAAGCAGACCACACTCTGGGTCTAAAAGATATTTGGAACTAAAAGGATGACTACTTTGCATAATAATACAGACCTCAGCTGAATGCATCCCCCACTGGCTTCTGTTAATATGTTGTTCAGATAGTTACAGGCATTTGTGGGAACCAGTCTCCCCCAAAATTCTCTCCAGAAACTTCACATGTCAAAAAAAATCTAAATCTTCTACATTCTAAGAAACAAGAACCCCGTTCAAATGAGAATACAGAGTACTTTACAACTGGCATCTCAGATATGAATCCTACTGTACATCAAACACTCAGCCATTGAGTTCTCTGTTCATTGAATGAATTTAATTTTACTTATTTTTCCCTGGCTCTGGGGAACCTTCCTTGAAAACTTGAAATACCAACATTTCTATGAAAAGTTCTCTCTCTGAAAAGTTTCATTTTCAAAACATCTTTTTTTTTCTGATGAAAAGTTGTTCCGCTTAGAAATCTTAAGCAACTCTGTACCTCTAGTACCTATGGAAGTGTCACCTGTCAGCAGTATTAGATTCAGAAGAAACGTACAGAGCCTGGCAAGGAAATGCTCTAAAGCTTGTTGGCCTAGGCATTAACATACAGCATACATAGTGTCTGGTTTATAATCCTTGAAATCTGAAGAAAATTCCAAAGCATGTCAAGTTCAGCCAATTGTCAAGAGTTGTCTCTCTATCATTACAACTTTTGTCATATACATGCTCTTGTCTACCAGTGAACAGAGATAAGGTATTTTCCAGAAAGCAAGGAAGACTGGAGTTAGTGTTACAAAGTGGCAAATGAAAATAGCTTCCAATGAGACTAATTTTGGTTTGATTTTTGGTTTGATTTGGCAAAAAAAAAGTGTTTCCAATAGCCAGTCTCTGAGTCATTCTTCAGTTTCATCAGAGAAAGCTACACTTCCCTTCCTGTGGTAAAAGTACGTCTGGTGACTCAGAGGTTATTTGTCTTAAACACTGACCACTGAACTATTATACATACCTTAGTAGCTTCACAGACTCAAAAGAGCAATATCAGAGACACAGAAGAAATACTTACTTGATTTTGAACCACAGGAGGGGGCTATCTGACCATTTGGGCATGTGCACATGTTTGGTCTAGAGCAAAATCCATCCCCACAGGAATGTCTGCAGATTGCTATTAAGAAAACATAAATGCCTTTAAAATATGTCTCAAAAACCTCAAACGCATAAAAAAACACCTAACAGAAAATCCAGCACCATAACACAAATACCCACATACTCATTAAACCACATACAAGAGATCCCGAAATAATTCCTCCTGTTCATCTGCATCTTTATAGGGTCAGCTAAGACCTACACCTTCACCATCTGCTATGAAAAGGTCTGGGAACATGCCACAGGTCACACTAGATATGGGGAAATTTCCTTGGAAAAGTTAAATTGTTGTCCATTTTACCAGACTTTCTTGGAGGAAGGATGGCACTGAGGCAGCAACATAAATGCTTCCTTTATTTCTGCACCACACACACACAAGAGCAATAATTCCCATCTGACAGCACGCTGCTGCAGGATCTCTGGAGAGAGTCTTATCAGCCTTGGGCAAAGTGCCTTTAGGAATTATCTCTGGTACACTGTTCCACTACACATGAATATACATATAGCACTATGATGTATGCATATATTGATATCCCTACATATATATTTCAGGGATATGGTCCAAGGAAGCAGAGAAAATGCACTTGCTAGCCTATTGTCTCCTCCCTTCAACTTAAAATATTTAACATGTTCCACTCATTCCCGAGAGTTTACACACCCCCAGGAACCCTTTACCACAGACTTAAACAGAACATGTGGATGAGATTAATCTTTTGTTAAATACTGGTATCACATCACTGTGTTGTAGCCCACGAAACTTTGTATATTAGCTTAATATATTTTAAATGGTAAAGCCATCATATACAGCTGCTATTGAAAACATACAGAAACACATTTCAGTTCTGGTATACAATTAAAACCACCCTGGGACATAGAAGGACAAAGATAAACATCAGTCATAACACATAACTAGATTAACTTACGGACTATGCATTGGTTTCCACCAGGTAATGTTTTCCATCCAGGGCAGCAGTAGGGATTGTAACGTGATCCACACACATTTGGTCTGGAAAAAAAAAAAAGGATAAGGATGAATTCTTATTTTTGCTCAGAAATATGTTTTAAAAGTAGAGGCATAAAATGGAAAAGGTAAATCACTGCAATATACATTTCAATCATTGAATTTAGAAGTGTTGTATGTTTTTAGCCTGTAGTTGTTGGGGTTTTTAGGTAACATACACTTTTATAAATCAAAGATTACATTACAAGCACAAAATCAAATCAGTAACATCTGAACAAGAGAAATAGAATGGGGAAACCTTGTCTCACAACACTCCATATCTGAAGAAGTAACCATCCAGGTTTTTTGAGCAAAACTCACACTGAAATAAAAAATGAGGGATCCCATCCAGCATCATTAATAAGCACAAATTAAATCTAGTGCTCTTTGAGTGGTAATTTTTAATCTTCCTGTTGCTTTCTCTTCTTTATTCTAAAGCACTATTAGTGTTCCCTGTTTTGTCCATGAACAAAACTACGTATGTGTGCCTGAAACACGACAACAAGAACATCAGCCAAATAAATTAGTCAAAATATGTTACTTCTTCATTAGGAAAAATTACTTAGTACCAAAAATAATCAAGGGTGTGGGTGTATATAGTGATAGGATCCTGTGAAATGAGTATGAGGGGCCTACTGCCCTCCTTAAATGATTTTCAGGAATTTTTCATTCCAACCCATTCCTCTTATCCACATTTACTCTGTCAAATAACTTTATTACTAGAGTTTACAATGAAAGCTGTCAGGACATGACACTATCATGATTTTATTGATAAAAATAGAAAAGTTGAAATTATTCTATGTCCTTCATATAAAATGGATATTTTTAATCTATCTTGTCCTATTTATTTAATGCATCTATCCATGCAAATAAAGCTAGTAAGAATACTTTCAAAAATGGAAACATGTGCTTTCTTTTGTTTTAAGCTTAATAATCTTAGCAGAGGAAAATTTTGCAACCTCTATTAATATTGTGAGCATTACTCAAAAAATTAATGCAGCTAGAACCAGCTAGAAACTTCCTAGGAGTTGCTATATTAAAATATTGTATATAGATTAGAGACAGACTTAAATGTTTACTGTTTTAGGAAGGACTCTATTATTATTTTGTTCTCGGACCTTTAGAAACGTCTTCATTGCTAGTATTGCAATGCCTAAGTAAACAATAGTTACTTCATATGATAAGGCAACTTAAGACAAACAGTCTCAATATATATAAACATTTCCTTATGCATGTTTTCTAACTAACAAAAAATACATACTGTATTATTTAGGGATACGCATTACTAATGCAATTTCAAGTATTCTGATTACACCAATTTCAGTGACACCTATTCCTTCCAGCTATGGTCAGAAACTACTGAAGTCAAAGCAAGCACCACCATTATCTTCCACTGGTTCTGGATATCTCCAAAGCAGTAACAGAGGTGAATGTGAGCAACACAATTGGACTTGTTGCAGGGTCCTTTTCCCTTCCTGCAGCTAGTGTTACAGACTCAAAGTCTTATTCATTTAATGCCAATGTATTCAGTTTTAGTAATGTCAGCTACTTCCCTGCAGGGCTATAACCATGTAAGTTTCCTAGAGTTCCCTGTTCATCGATGCCAAATGTTGCTCCACAACCATCTGCCAAGTAAGACTGGCAAGCAGACAAGAGAGATTGCTTTTCACCTTCTCCAGTCAGAAGAAATAATGGAACTTATTAAGACAGATAGAACGGGTTTGTTGCTACCTGTTACAACCTACGGGCATAAACCACCCATTTCCGATTCCAGCTGGTGAGGATCCATAGAAGGCTGACCATAAAGTGATGTTTATGTGCTCTGTCAAATTTCAGTCTCAGCAAGTATGTGGCTTTGGGGACCATCTGGTCCACGTTAAGAGTCAGGAGCAGATTTCTGTGTCACAGAGAAACCTGGTTTTAAAAATCTTTTTCCAAAATGGGACTCCAGAAAACCTAGATGTGCCAGCAACCATGAAGTCAGAGACCCTGAGAGCCTTGAAGCTGTCCACAGGGTAAGCTAAGCCATACACCCAGGAGACTCCAACTCTGGTGCAGTGTGCTTAGCTTTGAAAAAAAAAAGTCATCAAAATGTACTTCCATGGAATAGTTTGAGCCTGACAAGTGCATTTTCCAGTGGAACACTTTTTCTTCAGAAAGCTGCTGTCTAGCTTATAAAAGAAACCTATATTAAAGTCTGAATGCTGCTTCTTTGGGACAGAGGAAGTGTTCTTAAATCATGCATATTTGTAAAATGACATTGAAAATAATTAATTTTGAAGGTGAAATTCATTGATATTTATGAGGTGATCAAACACTATAGCAATAAATCCCCATAAATAAATAAAACATTCAAGGCAATAATAAATAATTTACCTCATGTAGAATCATGGAAATCATCAATCAAATTGTCAAGGCTCTATCACAGCACTTACTTTAAACACTTACCCACTTTGTGTTAAATAGAGCTTATTTTCCTGCTGATATATAAACTATAATACTAAAGAAGTGTTTTATATTCTTATGAAACTGTTTTCCTGAACAGAACTAGAAACATAAAATCTGATTTGTAATGATAAAATAAGCAAAAACTTATCTATACACTCTCAAACCACCTACAGCACCTTCCTTTCACTCCAAAGCCCAGAGAAGGAATAATCTCAGAAAAAAGCCGTTACCATTGCAATTAAAAAAAAAAACAAAAAAAACCCCCCACCCATTAAACAAGTATTTCATTTTATTTTAGAGTCACTTAAACTTGTAAAGCATAAAAGGATTTCTGTAATGGTACGGTGCTGAGAGACAGAATGGCTGATGCACAGAGTCTCATCAAAGATGTCCAAAGTAAACAAGATATTATGCCTTTGATTAATGATATGCAAGTAGAAATTCAGTAGCAAAGTGAGTTGAATTATCAAAAGACATTAGACATGAGTCATCAACTAGGAAAATCTTGGAACAGCAGAGAGAAAAAGGTTCATCTGGAAACTGTGATAACTAACACTTGAGAGCGATAGGTTTGCATAGATATTAGCAGCACCTGCATGCACCAAACTAGAAGATATTCTTCCTCAGAAACAGCCACAGGGGCCCTACACCCCCTTAGGAAGTGAAGCCGTGTGGGTCCTTTCGCAGCGGGTGGGGAATGAGCCGGGCAGAGCTGCAGCAGCGGCTCCTTGGGATGGACACGCGTGGTCCTGCCCCGGTCAGCGCGGGGATGCAGCACAGCCTCTCAAATCAGACAGCCTCTCCTGTCTCCATGGGCAATATCGATGGCACCCACGGAAAGGACCGACTGGGTCTGTCCCTCCTGTGCTTCCCGAGCCCTGGCTCAGCAGGGATGTGTGGCTGCCCGGCTCCCCGGCTCCCCCGACTTGCAGCCATGACCCAGGCACTGCGGGTGGGTTGGCGGAGCGGGCACACAGAGGTAAAATAATGAGAAGCAAATCATGCTAAGCTTGGCAGAGTCTCCGTATCAGCTAAAACAAGGAAGCGAGGGTACGTGACAGCCAGAGGAGGGAGGGAGCCCTGTGTGAAGCCGGCAGCAGCGAACACCCAGCCTGGGAATGGCAGGGACTCCTCCAGCACTGGGACCTCTCCAGGGTCCCGGTCGGAGCCCTGTGCTCCAGCCTGCCCGGGGGAGGGTTAATTCTCTACATCCCACTCTGCCCTGCCTGTGACCCCTCGAGGAAATTACAGCCCTCTCCGGAAGAAAGCATTGCCCATCTGCAACTCCCATGGGAGGAAGAGTTTCTGGCACTGCTGTGAGCGAGGCTTCAGGCAGAAATTTTGTCAGCAGCACTGCCATGCACCGGCCAACGCTGGCGTAATCCGCGCTGAATCAAACCCAAAGCACGGGTCTCAAATAAATCAGACAGAGACCAGACAGAGTGGGCAGAGATCAGCTGAGAGAGCAAGAGAAACAGCTGACCAGCAGTCAGAGAGCTGGGATGCACGGATACTGGGAAGGGTTTCTCATCGCTCCCCCAACTCGTTTTTCCTCTCTTAGGAAAACACACGGGGATTCTTCCTTGCAAGAAAACGTTTCATTAACAACTTCTATTAACTATTTGGCTGCAATATAGCATATGACCCAGTTTGCTGGCAGAAAATACAATTTAAAGCAATATCATCAACCAAGGGTTGTTCTTAGAGAAAGCTTTGCCTATTTTCCTTCTTATGTGGGTAACTCTGGTAGCTGCTAAAACTGTACCCAGAACTATTTGCTAATCATTTCCACATAAAATTGGAGTGATATTTCCATGCTTGCACTGGGGAGTTAAAAAGAATGACAAACTGCACCTGAAAAAATGGGAAGTTGGTCTTAAAAATGTGCTTGTTAAGGCTCCAGAATGTGATGATGAATAGCTTTTACTAGTAGGTTTCAAGAGACACCAAATCAGATTTTGCTGTAGGCCAGCTTTATGTATCTACCTAAACTTCTCAGTGTTTCAGAATTCAATGCTAAATGCACAGACTGGCACAGCTCTGCCGACTCCACTGGAGTTTTACTCAGCTTTCCCACAGAATCAAGAATTTCCATTGCTAGATACAGTCCAAACTTTAGTGGACACAGCCATGAGCAACCTGATTTAAGTTTACCCTGCTCTGAGTGGGGGTTGGACCACATGGCCTTCCAAGATCCCTCCTCACTTAAATGCCAGAAGCCAAGTATGCATAAATTAGAGGTTGGTATCTCAAGCACCTCACTTAGCTGTGCTGTCACCTACCCTCTCCTCCAAGGAGCAGCAAGCAAAGCAGGACTGGGAAAGGAAGATCTGGTTCCTAGTGAGATGCAGCAGTAACAGCTACAGCACCTGACAGGCAGCAACCCTGACACAAGCCCCAAGGAAGAAGCCTGGTTGTGCTCTGAACTCACCACTTTCAACGAGTACACCCACAAACTCAAAAACTTAACTGTGCATTGGACAGAGCCAAAAACACAAGTCTGCATTTAGCATGCATAAGGCTCATTTCCAGGTACCTCAAATAGTTTAAACAGTGAT